CGAACTTTTCTACTCGCCATCGCCAGAAAAAACTTGTCGCGAATCGTGTATTACGCCGGCCGAGTCGAGTTTTAAAAACTGCCAACTTTTTCTTTGAAAGTGGTCATGAGTAACACATCACTTCATTCACTCGAGTTTGTGGACCAGCTCTGCGTGTACATGTTCCCCTCATTGCTCTTTTAACACATCACAGATTCCAATCATTTGTTATCTGTCGTCCTTGTCACACGAATAAGCTCAATTTTTTCTACTTCAAATGTCTTTTGCTTTTGGTTATTTGTTGAAATGCTGTAGGAGGATTTGCCTGAATTTTTCTAGCAAATGATATTTGTCTCTCTACTGATCATTGTGCGTACTATTTTATTCCTTTCGTGAGAATGGAATTTATGTTTTACAACGATGAAGTAGTTGAGGACGAACAGTGAGTTGAAGAGTTCTGACCATGCTCGATTGTCTGAGATTTCAAAAAATTTTACAAATCCATTCCACTCTACTTTTCTTCTTAGGCTCCACTCTTTATGCAGTTCTCGCTCATTTTTACTGAATTGCTAAAGCAACAGGTTATGCTTCTAGTTTCGGCTTTTTGGAGCTCTAAAATCATTTCGAACGGCGTGAAGCATTCATCCTTCGTTCGCCAAAAGTTCTAGGCTTATTAGCGCCAGCACTGATATTCAGCACAGGGAGCGGACGTTGCAGTATTTGCAGGTTTTTATGCTATGAGCACATCAGATCATACGGGCGATGTTTTCTATTGAATAAAGACCGTTGGGAAGTTGGCAGACAGTGATTATAAGAGAATTTTTTTATTCCCTGCAACGATTTTAACTAATTCAGCTAACTGTTAGACTCCGTAATGATGCAATCGAAGGTTGATACAGTATGACTCAAATTCAGATCACACCTTATTTTGCACTTTGAAAGACAAAATCAAAATAAAGAAAACTGCTATATTTCGTGCTGTCATTTTCGTTGTGATATCACAGTGAGGGCGTAAAGTAAAATCAATCAAAAATCCACCTTCTAAACAGGTCTCTAACGTGCAGCTCAAGTGTTACTAAAAAGGCAAGAATTACCTGGGTGTTACACTCCAGCTCTCTTTCCGCAGAATTCCTTCAACGATGACCGTTTGTCGCAGATCTTTATCGAAATGTATGATTGCATCGCAGAAATGCACACTACACAGCTCGTTGTTGAATGAAGTTGCGGCACTCAGCGAACTTACTATTTTCTCTGGGCACTTTTTGTAAATATCAGTCATGTCCTAAAAAGCATCTGTACTGAATTTAGCTCGCAGAAGGGAATATGTAATTGTGTTGCAGTATGAACTAACGAACGAAGTAAAACGGTGAACGCAAACTTGGGGAGAGGCAAAGGTAGAAGACTTCCTTTTCCGGGATAGGAGGGTGCTGTAAACCATTTCACATTCTACGGCATTTGGGCCAATCACTAGGTCTTCCAATCCAGTATCTTAGGTTCCCATCTCATTATATTATATTATTTTACATTTCATTATAAAAATTCTACCGTACAAAATTGTCGCAAAAGGAAGAAAATGTTAACAGCAAGGGAATCACTAGCAATGCGCACCGGACGGGCCCTTGCGAACATATGTTTTTGCAGTATTTCGTACTGTTGTAAGATCGCTTGGAGTCCCATTAGCTAGAATTTATGACATACTGGTCCTCAAAGTTCAAGAAATTAGTTGTGCCACTACATGGTACTTGGTCAGGGAACATCCCTCAAAATTTCAACTTTTTATGCGTTTTTTCATAATATGCAAATGCGAAAACGCATTCTGTGACGATCCCGGTGTGTGTGTGTGTGTATGTGGGTGTGTGTGTGTGTGTGTGCGTCTGTCCGGTATTTCAACTCGGCACCCAAGCAAGCTCCGGCGCCAAAATTTTGCGAGTTGGTTTCCGGCCAAGTGCCACCCCAGGACCGCGGTACCAGTCCTCAAGCACGTCTAGGCCCCGCATACGAGCGTCTCAAAGTTTTTGCGGGAAAATCGCTAACTCGAGAACCAGAAAAACTAGAAAGCTGAAATTTTGGGATTATGTTTCCA